GGGATAGGGATGAAGACGTACTTGGACGGCCCCATGGACTACGCGAAAAAGCTGAAATTGCAATTTCGAGTAGGCGATCTGGACTTGCCAGAACGGAGGAAGAGGTATACCAGCCGTAGGAGAGAGGAAGAGGAGGATAAACACACATGTCCATGTGGCAAATCGGAGGAGAGTAGACCCCACATAGTTGGGGAGTGTGAGTTGTACAGGAAGGAAAGAGAGGATCTCGAGGAGGAAATGAGACAGAGAGGGTGTGACATGGACAAGTTTGGTAAATTAGACAACAGCGAAAAAACGATCGCGATAATTGGGGATAGATGGTGGGCACAAGAGGCCCTAGAGGACGGCGATAAGATGTGCAAGAAATTTTTATGGAGTTTGTGGCAGAAACGTAAAGGGCTCCCAAATGTTGGTGGTGTCTCTAGTAGGGGTAGGAACGGTGCTCCGTCTCGAAAGGGACGCGTGGTCAATGGTCAAATGACTACGGCAAGCAACAAATGAGTACGCCCCCCCCCCCCCCTATTCTGGTCGGAGTATTCCACATTCCACGTCCCACCCGAATCGGATTCCCGTTATTCCGTGTGTGCGCGCGTGCGTTCAGCCTCCCGGACGGGAAGAGCGGTGCCCCGCCCCCCATCTTGGCGAGGGAGCAGGCGGGTTTCCAGTGCGCTCCCAGCGTGTTCGTCCCGGGTACGCAGAAGGGGGCTTCCACCTTCCTGTTCCACGCCATCTCTTGGCACCCGCAGGTAGTAACCGCGACAGCTGCTTTTTTTCTTTTCTTCGTCTATGTTCCCCTACAACAACACAACGAACATTTATATATACGATTTTTTTTTCTTTTTTTCTTGGAACAGTAGTCTACGCAGCAACATTGATTAAGCAGACATGGGATGAAGTATTCAATCCGTGCTTTAGGTTGGGGTTGGGGTTAGGGTTAGCGATAGGGTCTGCGTGCCCCCTCCCTAATCTTTTTCTAGGACTCCTGCGTAGGCGGTCTTCTTGGGAGCACAAATGATGAAGATAAAAAGGGAACGTCCTGGTCTCCGCGCAATACCATCCATACCGTACATGTACTATATTCTAGCGAGGGGTTGACTGAGTAGTAGCCCAGGTGGGGTGAGCGTTCGTTTTGGGGTTAGTTGATGACCCATCTTCCGGGTCTTGGGGCGGACCTCAGCGATCCGTAGGTGCCAATAAGCGGCTTGGCTGACTGACTGGGCCTGGTAGCGCGCATTTCGGACGACTCAGCTGCCCGGTATTCGGCCGGCCTCAGCAGCGATGGTCTCTACCTGGGTGTACACGTTTCTTTTTGCCTCTGTCGTCTTGATTTACTTCGGCGGGCCTCGGCAGCTGTAGACTCTTTCGTTTTTGTTTCCCTCTCCACGTCTGGTAAGTGACCACGCACCTCCCACGCCCTGATTCGAAAACGCACGCCCACCATGTTCTTCGTCTTGCTGGGCGGGGGGGGGGTCTGCAGATGGTACAGCCACTAAGGGGGGCCCACGGGTTCAAGGAGACTGGCCGCTACTCGCCCGGGGTTGCCCTCGGAGCGAACAAACTGGGGCTCCGACTCGCGGCATTTCCTTTCATTGGTGAGCGATGGTTTGCCTGTGCAGTAGCGGATACGGTTTTACGGGAGAATATTGGAGAGGAAATCGGATTGAAGAGAGTGATACTGGCTTGTCCAAACTATGGAATACATATATTTGACACAGCACGGTTTTTAAGAGAAAAATCGGGTTTTGGAGGATGTTGTTGGCTTGTCCCAACCCTCTCGTAAACCGTGGTGGCAACCACTGCATCCAGATTTGTACCATGTTTTTTTTTATTTTTTTTATTTGTTCGTTGCGGTTGGGCTGGACTCTTGGAGCCAAGAACACGTCAGCTGTGCGAGTTTCGAAAACGTGACGCTGCTGCTGGAAGCCGGCTGTGGGTTGGTCCCGCTCCCTGCTTGCTTTCCATCTTATGCGTACGTCTCCCCTTCATGACACCATCCTCTCATGAGCCCACTCTGCAGTTATGACTTGTACTGTAGTCAGTCCCTGGGAGGGGAGTTGAGGTCGGTGGGAGGAAGGTGGGACGGTCGGCTTTGCTGCGTTTTGATTCATCGGCCGCCGACGATCTTGGATAACGTAGAGGTCGCGCCGCATGTGTTTCTCCTGTTCCCGGAAAAACACGCGAGGTTCCCGTTGTTGTACACGTTCGCCCGATGTTTTCTGTTCCAACACTTTTTTTTCTTGTCGGAAGTGCTGCCTTGGTGTACCCGTTGTCTGCGGCTCCTGCCAGATGGCCATGTTTTGGCCGTGTTGTAGATCTTCGCCTGATAGTGTCTCTTTCAACAGCGATTTTGCATATTGGTTTCCTCTGCGGAAGTGCTGCATTGTACTGGTAAGTTGTCTGCGGCTCTAGCCAGATGGCCTTGGTATGGCTGTGTTGCTCACGAACTGACGATCTCGGGACTATCCGTCCTTCATGAAGTTATACTTCCGGGGCGACGTGTATCATTTGTGAGCGGAGATGGGAGGGTAGGGGGGGCTTGGCCAAGATGGGCGCTGCATTGCCGGGTTCCCATGTGGATTTGGTGTGCGTTCATGCGTTCGGGCAATTTTTTTTTTTTGGTGTGATGGCAAAGAGACGGATAGTTTTTTTCACCGGAGGCTTGTGCTTTCTGCTCCCCAACCATTTGCATGACAGAGGAACACGAGAACTTTGCGACAGGGGACGGATCCGTCGTCTACATGATCCAGAACATGGACGTGCCGGAAGCCATTCTGGCGGACAACCCTCACGCCAAGATAGTCTTCGCTCTCAGGTGAGCTGCTTCTGTTGCCGACGTCGTTGATGTCATTGTTGTTGCTGTCGTTGATGTTGCTTTTGTCGTTGACTTTGTTCGTGTTGTTGTCGTTGTCGTTGTTGTTGACGATGCTGTCCTTGATGTCGCTGGGGCTTGTGTTCACCCACCCACCCCTGAACAATACTAGCACTCACGTGGCCCCGCCCGAATTAAGGACCAAAGACACCAAACGAAGGATACGAGTGAGGGGGGGAGGGGGGGTGTACTCATAGTCGTGCATGCCATCGTCGTTAGACCATTGACCTCGTGAGGGGGGGGGGGGGTTAACCTCCGTATCACGCGTGTTTTATTCGCATCCCCGCCCGGCGCCCCGGTTGAGTGCAGACCGGCCTCCTCCCACCCACCCCCTCCGTCCCTACCCGACACGCGTCTGTCAGAGATCCTGTGGCCCGAGCGTGGTCGGACTTCCGCTTCTTGTGGAACATCTACTCCAGGACCAACGGCTTCCCCTCAGGTGAGAAAGAGCTTCGGCTTCGGTACACCTACCTCCACATGGTTTTGGCATGAGATGCCGCTTTTTGTTTGGTCGGTGTTGTTTGTTGTGCTCGAATAAAAAGCCGACGCGGTCTCTGCTCAAGATCTGCTCAAGATCTGTCGCTTTCTCCTTTGCGGTGTTGGGCCTGCGCTTTGCCCTTGGGTTGCATCTGTCCTCTCTCATCTCTTGCTGTCCTTGTTTTCTTCAGCTCTCACGTGAGGCTTTCTACCCTGAGGGGGACGTCTGTTAGCGTCCTTGCCTGTGGTGGCTTTACTCTTGTATTTTCTTTCACCCTTTTTTCTTTTCTTTGGTTTTTCAATGGCACTTGCTGTTCGACCTTGTCGTCTTAGTTTTTCAACCTAGCCATCGTTTCCGTTGCATTTTCCATCAATCCACCCCACCCTTGTTGTGGTGGAAATGCTCTTTCTCTTTCTCTCGCAGTCGTCCGTGATTCTGTTCGAAAGACTCGGGATTGCTTTGCGAGCCACATGGGCGAGTCCCACTCCCATAAACCCTTCGAGTTCGGGGCCGGCGGGGCAGGGCAACTGACGTTGTCCGAGGAGGACGAGAATGTCAGTTGTGGTAACCGGTTGCCGTATCATGGTAGTTGCGGTGCTTTGTGGTTGTTTTTCTCAGAAAATGTAGTTCATGGTTTCGAAGAGACTCAAAAGTGCGTTCGAACGGGATGCGCGTTGAAGCCCTTTGCATTGATGGTTAAGCGGAAGACCTGCATGTTCTTGCGGAATGGCTTTTTCAGTGCGTACAGTTTTCTTCTCGTGCTGGACACCGTAGTGGCGGCAGCGTTTTTTGTTGTGTGTGTTGTTTTGCCTGGTTGGAGTGTTACAAACGTCGACGGCCAGGTGTGTACCGGTACTGTTATGTATAAGGGGAGGACTCCGGATGTCATGTCATGGCCGTGTGTTGAACCCTGACCGCCGAATGTCTTCTGTTTGATTGTTGTCTACGTTGCAGGCACTGAAGTACTTCTACAACTCGTCTGGAAGGTGCGGGACGAGCAATGACCCTGGGCACATCATCCGCAAGGGTATCTACTACTTCCAGGTGCGTCCCCCCCCCCCCCCCCTCTTACCGCTGCTTCTGCTGTCCTGGCTTTTGCGCCTTATGTATTCTTCGCATGCTCTCACGAAAATCGCTGTGTCATCCGCGTGCCCCCCCGGCTTGCAGGTAGCGCGTTCCTGTGAGATGGGGGCAAACAAGTGCTGCGATTCTTCTGCGGCTCACCGATACTGTTTTTGTATCCCCGTTATGCTTCCCTCCCCCCGTCGCCCGTCGCCCGATCATCAGGTTCTCAACTGGATTCGGGTGTTCGGCAGGGACAACGTCATGGTCGTGGATTCCGCTGACTTGAAGTCGAGGCAAAAGGAGACCGTCGAGGTGCGTGTTCAACAGGCCCCAGTGCTATGTGGCATGCTTTGGTTCCCAACCGTTACCGCAGCCATTCTTTTTTTTTTTTTTACGTTGTCGGTACCATAACTTTTCCCGTTGGTGCGGTTACCGTTCGTCGGGTTGTTACCCCTTCTAACCTTGCCCTGCTCCTGCTCTCGCTATTTCTGTTCGTTTTTCTCGGGGCGTGGGGGTTGTAGGATGCGGTCGGCAAACAAGATTTCAACGACCGGAGTTTCAGGCGGATGAATTGAAAAACCTTTTTTCCTCGGTGGGCCCTCGTTTTTTTGGGTTCATGGCGCCTTGGTTTTTGTGTCTCGCGTGTTGGGTTTTTATGGTGGCCCTCGGGTTTCCGCTCACATCGCTGCGCGTTTTTCTCCCACTCACGTCGCCACGCGTTTTTTTCCGCTCACGCACGCGATTGCTCTTGTTGTTGAACGCAGGAGGTATACCGCTTCCTCGGACTTTGTCCGGTGGACGTGAGCAGGCTGGAGCCAGAGAACGTAACCCCGCCGCCAAACATCCCGGATCACAAGAAAATTAACGCCGAGTCCTTCAAGGCAAGCGGCACCACTGTTTATACAAACATGGCCTGATTTTTTTGTTGAAAGATGCCCGGCCCTTCACACGGCACACGCCAGGTTTTTCCTTGTCATGCTTGTACACATTCGTCGGTGTGGTTTTTTGTCAAGGTAGGTAGTACAAGCCCTCTTCACGGCACACACCAGATTTTCGTTTCTCACGCACACAAGTATTGGATATAGAGACTCCAGTACTTCGACGACGAGCAAAAAAATTAGTGCAGGTTGTCCTAGACAAATACCTGCCAGTGGTAGAGAGAGAGAGAGAGAGAGAGAGGGGTGGAGAGTGGCTCAGAAACAGGAAAGCAAGAAATGAGTAGGTAGTTTTATTCCGGTCATCCAGTCAACAGATAACTGAAATATTCTCCTACAGAATAGGTTTTATCTGGCCTGGTGCAGCGCTGGTGCGCGTGTTCTGAATGAGAATCTGACTTTTCTCACCCTGCTTTCGTTGAAAGGTTTGCTTCTACACATTGAACTCCTCAACGCCCCCCCCCCCCCCCCCCCTTTTATCGTTGCCGCCGAAGCATCGCGGACATCTGGCTGGATACAGTGCGCTCACAGGTCAATTTCGTCTACGAGGAGCAGAGTGACCCCTGGTGGCACACGCGCCACGGTATCGTGGGCAAAGAACGCAATCGAAGGCCAGTCGCCTACGGGCGGGGACCGAGCTCCTACACAGATGCAGTAGAATCGAAATAGGAAAGTCACAGTGCTTAAGCGGGGTTGTGGGAATCTACCATCAGTTGTGACGCCCCAGAGGACCAAACCGCGTGCCCCGACCCATGTAAGGCCCCCCAAAACGTCCGGGAATGTGGGCTTGGCTGCCTGGTGGGATAATTCAGACAGAGAAGGGATTTCCTGTACAGTGCGGGAACGTGAAGAACTGCCTAAGGAAGAGCGTACAACATGTGTGCACTATTGCTCATCTAGCTTATCTTTTCGTTATGGGCCCTTCTCATCGGGTTCCAGTAGTTAGGAGGTTTTTGCAACCGCAACGAGGAACCATTGACCGGTCAGCCTGGCTCGTCGTCGGGATCGATCTATGTCGGTTGCTGCGTCGTGGGGTCCATTTGATGGGGCACTTTTTCTCCTTCCGAG